ATAGGGGCATTGATGAGTGCCCAGCTTCTAGAACTGCAGGCATCAGACCTTGAAATATCAGCTGCAAAGAGCATGGCTAGTTACAGATTTGGCATAAGGGCAAAGATAATTTTCTGTGGTTTCTGGTGGATCCAAAATAAAATAAACATTGATTGTGTATCACTGTGGAACCAAATGTTACCAAAGTTGTGATTTGTCTCTTTATGCCTGTTGAGAAAACCAGTCTGTGAAGATTGAGGATCCATGCCTCAAAAAACAAACCACTTTCACTATAACAATATTAGAATACTCAGATCTGTACTTCTGATGGCTGATTGCCATCAAAATTTGTGATGTGTTTTCACAGAGATTTCAGGTGAATCCGATCCATATTTTCTGGCCACACTGATATTAAACGTTGCTAGCTGCTAAGCTATCTGGAACTTGATGTATAAATGTGTACATTTTTGTGAGTCACAGTGTATTTGAATCTCCAGGGTTGTGTGTGTCATAATGATGTCATCAACTATTGGGATTGTGGTGACTCATTCTTTGCAAATGCAATCTTTGGTTTGAAGATTTAATGTGAATGCATCGCAGAGTTAACAGGATCTATACTTGGACCTGTTTTTGGGTTAGCTCCAATAGCTAGAATAACATCCATATGGACAGACATAATCTATTATTTGATTATGTTTTCAGGGGAATTCCCGGTTAGAATGATATGAAACCAGTATATGTTCCATGCTTGATCTTTGATGCGCCTCCAACTTTACTGGCTTTAGGCATATATGCATCTTGGCGAGATAGGGGCACCTGGGTACCATTTCTGGGCAACAAGATATTCGCCAAGAGGCCAAGTAAAATGACAGCAGGCTGCCTCAAAACAGACCCCAAATCTAAGTGCAGCTTTCCAGACACTACAAACTTCCAGGATCTGGCGTCGTTTGGAACTGGGTGTTGACTTGCAAACCATCTGGAAGGCACCAAGTGGCCTTCAGGACGGGGGGGGGGGCACCTCCCCAAACCAAACGACGCACAGGTGATGGTCGATAAAACAATTCCCCCGGGGTGGTGGGTGGGGGGAAACCATCTTCCCTTTGCCTCCTCCCTCCGTGTCACGTGGTTGCAGGAGAGCCGCCTCCTGCCCACCCGCCACCCCCCAGCGCGGAGGCGCGTGCGGGGTGAAAGAGTCGGGGAGCTGCTTCCTTAGCGTCGCGGCGGCTCAGCTGCGGCCCGAGGCGGCTGCTCTCCCGCCGTTTGGCCGCTCTTCCTCTCGCCCGCAATATGCCTCCGCTGCCCTCCGGCTGGCCGCCATGCCTGGGATTCGCGGGCGTCCGCCGATCTCCTCGCTGCTGGGATTGGCCGCCGCGACGTTCTTCCTCCTCTTGCTGCTGTTGCTGCTGAAGAGCCGCCCGGGTTCCGCGGCTGCCACCGGCGCCGTCGGCTTAACCAGGCGACCTCAGCAGCGAGCCGGCTCGTCGACGCCGTCTTCCTCCATGGCTGCTCCAGGTAGGTTGCCCCTCTTTTCGGCCCTGGCGGTTGGGCAAAGGTTTTTTTTTTCTTCTTCTTCTTCCCTGCGACCCAGCATTTGGCTTTGCGTGGCATCCTCGGCGTCCCATTGCACCTCTCGGCGCCTGGGGCACTGCGAGGGATGCCTCTCCTCCCTGCCTCCTTCCCTGCTTCCAGCCATTCCCTTTCCTTTAGGTCCTGCTTCGGTCCTTCCATCCTCTCTTCATTTGATTCCTCGGCAAGCAGCAGTTCGCGCTTCCTTCCCCCCCCCCCCCCCCCCCGCCTGTAAGGACTTGGCTTTCCTCTTAGGATAGCGGCGCTTGGAAGGCTGGATGGAGGTGCGAGGCTCGCAGAGGAGCAGAGAGAGCATCTACTCGTTCCCGGGGCCCTTGGGCCGAAAATACTCTGCCCTCCCTCTTCCCCCCCCCCCCCCCCCAATTATGTAAACGGCCCCCCTTTTTTCTGTCGGGGGTTGTGGCGCCCCCCCCCCCCCCCCCCCCCCCCCCCGGTCGTCTTTTCTCCATCGCATCCTTTGCGTCAGATCTATCTCATGACTGGAAATTACAGTGGAATCATTCTAGGATGTTAGAATTCATTTTTCTTCAGTGAAAAAGAAAAAGAAAAGAAAGTCCGGGAAGGGGCGATCTTCATCGAAAGGCTCTGCAATTGTTGTTTTCCCTAGGTAGGGAAATAGGAGGTTGACTTGGCTTCCAGTAGGGAGGATTGTAATGGTGGTGTGTAGCATAAACCTTCCCTGGTCCCAAAAGGCTCTCTTGTCTAGAGAATGTGATCTGCCTCTTTTTTTAAATCCGCCACCTTACTTTTATCTCTTTCTAGGTAAATCCTCCCCTCCCTTTAGCTTGCTTCCACCCCCCTTCAATTTGTGCTTGCAGACAGCTTTTCCCCAGGTAGTAGGTAGGTGCCTTCCCTTTGATGCCTCAGCTTTTCCTTAAAGTCTGGCAGACTCCCCTTTTCTCAGGGGGATTACATTAGACCACATGTGTCACTTGTTATTTATGGATAGGGTTGCTGGGGAAGGGTCTTGACCACTGTGTGCTTAATGAAGCGGCTTCCTTGCCTCTTGGGAGGTGTGAATTAGCCCTCCAGTTGCTCTTCCTTTCCCACTGCGGGGGTTTTAATCCGCTCCAGAAGAGCAGCTGCAGCTCTACTTTAAAGCGAATAGGAAAGCAGCTCCTTTGGCATATGGCGACTTGATTGTCTTTCACAATTCCCCTGTAACCACAGAAAGGAAAATATTTTATTCTTATTTATACAAGATGCTTCTGATTTGTAGGCTGCGGTCCATAATTTAAGCAGAAGAGGGTTTTGGATTTTCTTTTTTTTTTTTTTTTTTTTGCATATCAGAATTGTGTTTTGTCTGTTTGTGCACATATGTATTCGGTATATATCTAGATATTTACAATTCTACATTAGTGCAAATGCTAGTGTTTGAATATTGAGCAACCCCATTTTCTGCTTTCATTGGGCACTGGTTCAAATAATGCCATGTATGACATTTCCAGCCAGGAGTGTCGGTATCCAGTGATCTGTGACTGCATCTTTGATAGTTTTTAAATGTATGGTTTAATTTACAAAAGAAGTGTTGGTTTGTGACATTGCCTATAATTTTTAATGATAAAGAAAGGTTTTCTCTCTCTTCCTAATCAGTGTACTTTGCTAGCTCCTTTTCTCTTAAGTCTTCAAATATTATATCATTTTATGTTACCCTTTTAAGGATAACTGGTGGCTTTGCAATATCTGTATGCCACTTGAAAGTGGTCTTTAGTTTGTAAGGTAATAGTGAACATGCCTTAAAAATAAGTATATCTTGGATCTTGGCTACAAAGACTAATCTGTATTTTATCTCCCTTCTGATACAAATCTATGAGCTCATTTGTTTCCTCCCTCTCCATATAAATACCTTTCTGCTAATAGTACCATGTTCCTTCCATAAGATGATTCTAAAATCAATCTTGCTTTGCAGATTCTCGTACCTTATAGTTGTGTTATGAAAGAATTGGTACTCATAGTTGTATTATGAAGCCTTATTTTTAATGTTTGGATCAGGACTACTTGAAGTTAGCAGCTCATCATTTACATCTTAACCATCATCATATTAATTCAGTATAGCTTGAATGTCTCTCTGGCGAGAGAGTCAAGAATACATTTCTTCTTTATGGAAATGTGACACTATAGTTAAGCAGCATCCATGTGAAAGATATAGTAATATGATTAAATGAAGCTGGATTTTTTAATAATATTAAAAGGTGGGTGTAATGTTGATCCACATTTTTATGTAACCTGAGCTGCTTTGCATTTATCTGATAATAGGTAGGCTATTGCATAGTTACAATTTGGGTTGTGTATTCCTCTGAATTTTCTAATACATTTATTTGCTTCAACAGTTGAATAATGATAAAGTGTGGATTTAAAACATATTATTGAAAATGTCATGGAAATAACTGCACTTATTTTGAGGGGCTTTTAAAAAATTCAGTGTGCTACTAAAACTGAATGAATTTATTAAGAGCCGTGGTGGTTAGAATGCAGGGGTTAGAATGCAGTACAGCAGGCAATTTCTGCTGACTGCTGGCTACCAGAAGTTTGGCAATTCAAATCTCACCGGCTCAAGGTTGACTCCGCCTTCCATCCTTCCGAGGTTGGTTAAATGAGGACCCAGATTGTTGGGAGCAATATGCCGACTCTATAAACTGCTTAGAGAGGGCTGTAAAGCACTGTGAAACGGTATATAAGTCTAAGTACTATTGCTGTTGCTATTATGGCCTGAATGTAAAATTTACAGATCAGGAACAGACTGATTTATTGATCCATAGCTGAGCTACATAGTTTCTGAAATCTGTATGTTACTGCTCCAGAGAGACAACAATGAAAATTCTATTATATGGGATTTCAGCCAACTAATTGCCCTTTTAAATAATGGGAAATTTATTATTTTTCTTAAAACCTGAAAAATATGGGTAAAACACGAATCAAATCTATTTGTTTACTATGTTTAAAGTAACGGCATCAAATATTTCACAGTGAGCAGTCACAAAACAAATATAAACACTTCAAAATTTGCTCAGTTTATAAAACATCTTGATTTTTATCTGGTTTGTATGAGGCTCAGAATGAGGGACTATGATGGAACAGGGGAGTACTTGAAGATAACTTGAAACTAGTGCAACAAAATTTTAGATTGAATGCATATCATATATTTGGAAAGAGAAAAGAAATCCAGAAGAATCCCAGTAGAGGTGAAATAAGTTAATACTATACATTTGTAAAAGGTATGCATGTAATTGTTTATTGCAAGAATAATGTTTACGAATGTGTCACATTTTATTCTGAAATGTTATTCGGAAAAGTAAAAGAAGCTCAAAATATTGTGCAGAAGGGAAGTAATTTTTTATGGAAATAAAAGTATCTGATCAAGAGCCTTTTAAAATAGAATGTGAGGACACAGATTCTGATACAGAATTTGATTTAATAATTGTATTTAGATATAATATATATATTATTCAACGCATAGTATGCAAGTCACGAATGCTTCGAGAAAAGAATGGTAAACAAATATAAGAAAAAATGGAGAACCTGGAAAACAACCTGAGGAATGAAGACCTGGCAGTGCCATCAATGGAATCAAGAGAGGATTCATTTGAGACAGAGTAATTTTTTAAAACAATCAGTGGAAGGCACTAAGAAGAGGACCGTCAAAATTCTAACAGAATCTATGATATGGGAAGGGGAAGATGTGAATACAAAAATGGACAGGATGCACAGAACCAGCATAAACATTTGTTTCAAGCAAAATATCTATGCACTTGCCCAGGAAGATGATGAGATCAAGTTATGCAACAGTAATTCAACACTAAGGTAATTCTACCCCAAGAAGCTTCTATTAGAAGATACTTTACAAAGAAAGAATGCAAAATTGTTTGTTTGATCAGATATAAAATAAGTACTTTTGTAAATGTTGAAAACCCTTCATTGACTTTTTTTCCTGAAAACAGTTAAAATGCCTTGGGTGATTTTTTACTTTTCTTAATTAAAAAGGATTGAATATAGGAAGAGAAGAAATATGTATGATAGCTAAAAGAGGAGGAGAGAAAATAAGGTTGCTTGTGACTACTGTAAAGAAGAATGGGTCATTCTTTATAGAATCTTTTTCTTTTCTGCATTTTCTTTCACTTTTTCACACACACACACAAATATTTTTTCATGTTCCTTTTATTCATCTACATTTTTTTCAATGAAAACTATAAGGAAAAATGATTTACACAGGAATTCTGTATATGAAAAAATCTATTACAATATGAAATACCAGAATATATCTGTGTTTTAATACAGTAATAAGGAGGAAGAGACACTTGGCAGGGTGTGTAATTCTTGTTTGTACTTGTTTCCTTGTCTTAATCATAATTTTGCTAGAGGCACTATATTTCTCCACCATATTCAGATTCAGGAGATTAGTCTTGAGAATTGATTCTACAGAATAGGAGATTGCTTTACATTTTAAGAACAAAGGAAAAATGTCATGACCAAACTTCTTCAGCTTCGATATGCAAAATATAGAATAAGGGAATAATAAATTAATTTTAACAAATAATAATAAATAATAAATTTCAATAAGAGAAGGATTTGAACCGAGGTGTCCTTGGTTAAAATTCAACATGTATCTGGTTTGACTAGCTATATTGGATAGCAGCTTCCATAATAGTTGGGCACTCTAGTTGGTATGATGGTATAGTTTGGAACAACTGATACAGGAATTGAATACTTCCTACATTTTAATTGCATGGACATTGAACAGGATTTCTTGATTATTTATGTGGAGTTATTCTATGGTAATTGATTTTTTTTGTTGAAATAGTACATATCAGTGTACTTTTCTTCATTATAATTTGAGGTTTTTGAAAGTAATGAGTTGCCATACGATAGATTTTCTCTTAAATTCTTTTGTAAGAAAATCAAATTTATAAGGATTGTATAAGATTGATACTTTATCTTAGCTCACTGATCTTGCTGGTTTTCTGTCCTCATATTTGCCTCTATTGATTGCTTTCCTATGAAAAATTCAATGAACAAAGTTGGAAAAAAAACACTTTCCACAAATTAGCTTGCCTTAAACTTTGCCCTCTATAAATATTTTATCACATATATATTATTTATTAAAATGGATTTATCTTTTAAGTTTCATGAGCAGTGCCTGAATTAATTTGACAGCAGGTGTTTGATACATTATCTGGAAGCAGAAAAAAAGAATGTCAAGTAATGGCACATATTTAAATACTATAGGTTCTGTAGTTATCTCTGATTATAAATAGTAATTGTAAGATGGTGAGCCTTCCTCAAATTAAGGGATTACAGGGTCATAAAAAGGGACTTTAAAAAAGGAGTTGTATATGGTAATGAAATTTAGTATAAGCTAGTTCATCTGTCCATGCCTTGGCACCAATGCAACATAAGTTGTAACACTGAATTGAAAATATACAGGTTGCAGTGTATTTGCAGGTGTGCATATGAACCAGTTATATCTGCTAAATTCTTTTTCATGTAAATTCCTCTTGGAGCAGCTGAAGCAGTTTCTATCTCCTTCTATATTTCATATCTAACTGTTCTTGCTCCTGGCAAATAGATGGGGAAGAAATGGAGGTAGTGACAGATTTTATTTTCCTGAGCTGCAAGATCACCACAGATGGGGACTGCAGCCAAGAAATTAAAAGACACTTGCTCCTGGGGAGGAAAGCTATGGCAAATCTAGACAGCATTCTAAAAAGCAGAGACATCACCCTGCCAACAAGAGTGCGTATAGTCAAGGCTATGGTTTTCCCAGTTGCAATGTATGGCTGTGAAAGCTGGACCATGAGAAAGGCTGAGTGCCAAAGAATTGAGGCCTTTGAACTATGGTTCTGGAAAAGACTCCTGCAAGTCCCTTGGACTGCAAGGCGATTAAACCGGTCAGTCCTAGAGGAGATCAACCCTGACTGCTCTTTAGAAGGCCAGATCCTGAAGATGAAACTCAAATACTTTGGCTACCTAATGAGAAGGAAGGACTCACTAGAGAAGAGCCTAATGCTGGGAAAGATTGAGGGCAAAAGAAGAATGGGACGACAGAGAATGAGGTGGCTGGATGGAGTCACTGAAGCAGTAGGCGTGAGCTTAAATGGACTCCAGAGGATGGTAGAAGACAGGAAGGCCTGGAGGAATGTTGTCCATGGGGTTGTGATGGGTCGGACACGACTTCACAACTAACAACAACAAAACTGTTCTTGCGCAGTACCTTACCTTCTGTTTTTCTACAGTAAAAGTTACGGCTGCTTGACATCAATCACATTCCCTGTGGTGTGTCACACCACATGGAAAGCCAGTTGTTGATAAGCTCTAGCTAGAGATTGTATTTTATTGCTCCAAGATTGACAGGTGGTCTGGTCACCCAAGGGACGCTTTAAATTAACAACTTTATGGCAATTGTCCGGAACTGGGGTGGGTGTGGGTGGGGAGGAATCTTGTATCTCTGCCTAGAGTATTAGAATCTGAAATGTTTCAACCATCTCTGAAAGATTCAAAAGTAGTGCATGGAATTCTGTCATGGTGCAGGGTGGTGATAGGAATCTTAGAGCTTGAACAAATTTACTGTCAAACATCATTTCCCCCCCAAAAATGTTTACTGTATTTCTTGATTTAGAGGTCATTCTATATGTAATATATTATTTTGTGTTTATTTACTTGCTTGCTACCTTTAAGATAAAAGCCATGACTAGAAGAAGGAGCCTGTTCTAAATCACTGGTGCCTGTCATCCTGCCACCACTACTTCAAATCTTTCAATTACAGTCACGTGAATTGGATTAGCTCTGAGGGTTAATAACTACTAAGCTGTGGCTGCCTCTCTCATAAGAGCAGCCTTGCATTGCACACTGAAGCACTGCCCAGTTTTACATAGGCCAGGACAACTGTAGTAACTGAATCTTGCAAGTTTAAATGATTCTCTTTTTTCATCACTTTATCTTTGGGTGAACTAGTGAGAAGCCTGTCTGAGAGCTTTTCTCAAATTAATTTCTTAGAAAGGACTTAAGCCATACTTATCTGACCGCTCCTTTGCTAGCAGCTTTTCTGGCTGACCTTTAAGGCCATTCCCTACGCCCTCTGCAAGCATTACCAGACTGAAAAGTTGATTGGTCCCATCATTATGCCAGTTCCTAAGAATACCAGGTATTGCATGTAACTAGTGAAAGGATGTCAAAAGGTTGGTGGATAGCTGTCCAGTTTTGTTTTGTTTTTCTTTGGCGAATTGTGATTATAGGCTCACTTCAGTGAAGTTTTGGAAGACTTTGTTTTTCTGTATCTGTTTCCCACTTCAATATCTTTTACATATGTTGTAATGCTGCTTTTTGTCTCTTCTAACTTAAAATTCTTTTAAGTTTTTTTGCTGAGATCTTTTTCTTGCTTGCTTTGGCTTCTCTTCTTGGCTGACATCCTCTTTGCTTGCCTCTATTTTTTAGATCTTAGGCAGTCTCTTTTCAGATTCATTCTTAATATCTTTAAGTTCATTCCAAAATTCCTCTGGTTTCCAATCCATGGTGTTTAGGGATTTTAGAGCATTTCCTAACGTTTTCCTTGAAAATGGTTGGTATCGTATTGTGAAAATTGGTGGACTTTCATCTTCTCTCTTAGCCTAACCTTGAATTTGCACATGAGCAGTTTGTGATCTCTTCCGCAGTCGGTCCTTAACCACATCTCTGTGGTTAAAACTGAGTTCTTCCACCTTCTTGTGCCAAGAATATTGCCGATTTGATTCCTCTGGACTCCATCTGTTGATGTCCACACATATAGATATCATTTTGGTTTTATGAAGACTATTAGGAATTAAGAAATCAATGGATTGGCAAAAATTGATAAATCATTCATATTTCCAACTTTGGCATTCGAATCTCAAACAAGGTACCACTACCACCAAAACCCAAACAAGGTAGCATAGTAGCATAGGCTTTGGAGGCAGTACATCATTTTTGCATGCATGATGCACACATATCATCTGTGAAGTGCAATCACTCGTTCAAAAGGGAGGAAAAAATCCTGGGTAAGAGGGAACCATCATTAGTTATATTCTCCCTGGCAATCATGTTATTAATAGATACAGGTAGTCCTCGACTTATGACCACAATTGAGCCCAAAATTTCTGTTGTTAAGTGAAACATTTGTTAAGTAAGTTTTGTCCCATTTTACAACCTTGCTTGCCACCATTGTTAAGTGAATCACTGCAGTTCATAAGTTAGTAACTTTTTAAGTGAATCTGGCTTCCCCATTGACTTCGCTTGTCAGAAAGTTGCAAAAAGTGAACACATGACCTTGGGACACTTGGGCAACCGTCATAAATATGAGTCAGTTACTAAGTCTCCAAATTTTGATCACATGACCAGGGGGGATGCTACAGAAGTTGTAACTGAAAAATGGCTATAAGTCACTTTTTTCAGTGCCGTTGTAACTTTGAATGGTCACTAAATAAACTGTTGTAAGTCGATGATTACCTGTAGTCCCTTTCATAATAGCCATTTAGCAAGATTGTACAATATACAGAGCCAGCATAGTAATTAAGATCTAGATTTGGACCTAGGGAGACCCAGGTTCAATTTTCCATTTAATCACAGAGCCTTTTCATGAATTTTAGGTCAGCCACTGCCTTTTTGTAACACAGGACTGTTGTGAGGCCCAGGACTATTCTCAGAATAACGGATCTACTGACCAAGTCAAAAAGATTTAATGGCCCTGTCCTATGTGACCAGCCCCATATTTTTAAGACACCTGTGTCTCCTGCCACAAATAGTTGGGATGAAGGGGTAGTTTGGTGGTCATGAGAAAATACTTTCTGATACAG